ACAGAGAGATAGAGAGCGCGAGAGACAGAGAGATAGAGAGCGCGAGAGAGAGAGGGAGAGAGAAAGACTCGGGCCAAAAAGGTAAACACTGGCCATAGACCTGAATATATATTAAGATACTTATCGCGTAAAGAATGGCGTATATGCCAACATATATCTAGTATCCGGTGTTCACTTTTAGCGTTCTACATCAACAACAAACAAATTGTGCACAGTCATGATACCTCCCCCACTGCCACGTCCACACGTCAACAGCTACCAATGAAGGGAGTAACTATATTCATACCTAGCCACTATTTACCTGACCGACTTTCTGTTCCGGATTATATGCATAATTTAACTGAAGCTAATGGTGAAACATAAAATATTGCAAGACTTATTATATCATAATTGTTTAATTGAAAATCAAAACGCGTTTGGTCTGTTAAGTGGAGCTGAAAGCAGGATTTGCAGCAACTTTACTAGAAAAGCATGAATAGTGCAGCAGCCACCAACTGTTAAGAGGAAACTAAATTATTTATGAACATTATAATTTAATATCATTATCAATATTATCATCATCAATATTATTATCATTAAATAAGTTCATTCGGTTGGTAGACTAATACATATAACAGGGTTAATTTTTACTCAACCGTGAAGATTGGAAACGTACCGCTTACGTTTCGCCTGCTGCCAGCAGGCTTTCTCAAAGCTAACTCTGGCTTTTTAGTAGGTATGGTTATAGTTGGTTAGCTTTGAGTTTTTAGCATAGAATATATATATTATAGTTTATAGTTTTATAGTAAGTATAGTAAGTATTGCGCCACAAAGCTTTCATGTAGCATGTTATAAACCTATTTTAACTGACAACATTCATTAAATCTACAGCAACGTTTAGCTTAACGAAACACAGGTAACATATGATAAATATTATATCTTCACACACACGCACGCACGCACGCACGCACGCACGCACGCACGCACACACACACGCACGCACGCACACACACACACCTACAAAATAACGCATACAAGGAAACCAACCGTACGCAAACACATACTTTACAGTTTACACTACTGCACACAAATACAGGGAACACAGAATGTTACAATTACAGAAGCGCCTGCACGCAACACCCTCAACCGACACCTACAGGAAGCACACATTAGCCTTGCCGAGAAACTGACGTAAACTTACAGAGAAACTTTGAACCTGAGGCTCATCGCTGTGACGTAGTGTGGGAAACACGCGTTCAGTCCTCAAGCGTTCAGTCCTAGTCAGTGTAGTCATCAGGATTCTGTCTCACCAATATTACCGACGCACGCTGCTAGTGCTAGTGCGTATAGATCTGATCACACACACAAATCTCCCTACCAACACACACACACACACACACACACTATTAGCTCACTGTTGTTGCTCCCTCTCTCTATCTATCTATCTCGCTCTCTCTACCTATACACACACGCATTTCACCAGTGCGGCTCTCTCCCCCTCTCTATATATCTATCTATCTATCTATCTATCTATCTATCTATCTCGCGCTCTCCACCAATACACACGCATTTCAAAAGTGCTGCTCGCTCGCGCTCTCTCTCTCTCTCTCTCTCTCTCTCTTTTTGTTTCTCTTTCTCCCTTTCTCTTCTCTCTCTCCTTGAGAGCTTTCTGCACTGCACATTTTCTCTTTACCAGTCTTCTTTCTTTACTTGTAGCCAGTATTCTTTAACCAGGCATGAACGCACGCACACACACGCGCAAACTAATGTTGT